ACCAGCAAACTCGTGAATCCACCCTCTTTAGAGACTGTAGGCTACAAAGGGGATGGGCGGCTGGGAGAGGGGTGCTTCGAATTGTTACGTGTGTAATCCGACACTTGGACGAGCCGACAACCACCTGGGCAATTAGACCGCGAAAATCTCCATGCAAATGAGTGCTAACTGCTTGGCGCTCTCGTTAAGAACATTTCCTTGGACGAGTGTCAGGAGCAGGCAGGATCAGGCAGGAGCAGGCGGATGGATTCACAAAGGCCATGGAGCTATGCTAATGAGCTGCCGCCCCCCGAGAAGCTGACAATTAGCCGGGGGCCAGGAAAAGCCGCAAACTGAAACTTGTTGACCTCGTTGCCACAACAAATCTTGGCCAGGCCAAAACTTAATAAGCCATCTACGTTTTTTCTCAGAGTTCTTACCATCTTTATTGGGCTGGGAAGGCACTTGTTCAGTCGCTTGTGCGACGGAGTATAAAAGTTCGTAATTTAATTTCAGTTTATTAGTCGGAATTGTTTTTCACGCTGCTGCAGCGCACGAGGCTGTTTTCCGATGGCGTCGCGACGCAACAATTTAATTAGATTTTTGTAGACCGTTTCTTAATTAATTGCATTCAGCTGCAATTGAAAGCAGGGCTGGATATGGAAAGATAACTCGAGGGTGAGACTTTAACTACAGATTTGCAATTATGAATACAGCATGAGGTACTTGCAGATTCAAGGAATATATATGGCTAACACTCTCATATTTTTTCCAAAATATATAACATTTTTGGAATCAAAAATGCTGTAAATTACCGGGTTTTTCTCCATATTTATTTAATTGTAACTTAAAATAGCACCACTAATATATCACTTTAAATACAATTACAATGCATGTAGCCAGTTTTAAAACGCTCCTAAGATATTCTAATAAATGTTCTAAGCCCTGGCTTAATTCCACAGATTTCCCTAATTTTTTGTTTGGCCAAAAGCTGACGCCATTTTGGAAACTCACGTGAAACGCAAGAGGGGAGCCACATTAAATTTTCAAAACCACAAAAAGAATCCTTTGGTTCTTAAAATGTCTGAACAACGCTGACCATGATGATGCCAGGGGGAGTGGAAGTGGAAGTGGAAGTGAAAGAACAGAGCACTGCCTGATGGAGGGCACATGGGGCTGGCAACAAGGGGTGCACTCACCTGTCAACGCCCCAAGCACAAGCAGAAGCTCCTTTTTTCCCCCAGTTAGCCACCCACAAACACACAAAAGCCATGTGGAGTGGGTGGCTAAAACTCCAAAGCAGTGCAATGAAATTCTTCATCTGCAATTCAATGACATTCCATTCCGGGCCTTGGACGGGGCGTGGCAAGTCGGAGAAGGCTGCCAATAAGCGTGCCCCCCAGTGGAGCAACAGATGATACATTATGCAGCGCCCCCTGGTGGGCCTGCATCAGGGGGCGTGGCGGCGCATGCGCCTCCCGTGCGCGTGGGTGAATCCGGGGGTGGGATGGTCGAGCTATGTCATCCGCCCGGCGAATCCCAGAGCAGCCCGCTCAGGATTCCGGCGCAAGGTGCGAGCGAGAGCCGCACATCCGCATCCCGCTCAATAATGCGGGTGCCCAGTGGGTGGTGGATGGGCGGCTGGGTAGCTGGGTGGTTACTGCCTTTCATTGGCTTCGCATTCAAACCCAATTTCAGCTAGCAGCATTGCGACAGGTGACCGACCGCCGTTCAGTTCACTTTGAAGCCTGCCGCGGGTCAGTTGCGTGTCACGGAAAATCCTCAAGTTAGCTGCATAGTCCTTGGGCTAACAGAAAAGTTTCTAGTGATTCCCGATTAAAGTTTAATTTCGAACGAAATGCATTGAAATACATATTGAATATTTGGATCAAAACGAAGCACACAAATAAATGATGTGAAGTGTTGAACTTAAATACAAAAAATAAACCAATAGCTATAAAAGTTGTATCACCTTAAATTCCTTAGAAAATTTTTAATTATATTAAAGTGCATTATTAAATCAAACATATCTAGTGTCAGATGAAGCAAAAGGTAAATCTTACAATTGTCTATGTTTTATTATATCCCAAGAGATCCTTTTTCATACCCTTTAAAAATTATTTAATATTTTTTTATTTTCTATATTTAAAAATAAAGTCATAAAGTCATAGAAAGGCATACTTTAATGCATGGCGTATTTCCTGTTTGCACAACCCTATAACACTTGACACTTTATTTTTCCAAGGATAATACTGATTACTGACTTCAAATGAAATACGAAGAAGTTGACGTTAGAACGCAATAGAACAGGGGAGAAAAATGATGAACATGAATCCGCCGACGCACCCGCACCCACACCCACATCCTCATCCTCAGCCGCAACCGCAGTCCCATCTCCAGTCGGTGCAGCATCTTGGCCAGCATCAGCCGCTGCCCACCCTGCTCCAGGGCCACCCAGCCACCACCCACTTCGTGGAGTGTCGGGCATTACCAGCAATCAACGAGACATTTCCGCAATTTGGCCAGCATCGTCCGGCCATCTCGCTGCTCTCCCCCTTGGATCTTTCACTGCGGGCTGCGGCCAGTGTGGTGCCAATTACTCCACCATCGACGCCCTCGCCGCCTCGCAAGCGCCAGAGATTAATGTCCGAGGAGAATTACCTGTGGCGTCCGCACATGGCGAGTCCTGCCGCTCCAGCTCCAGTTGTTCCTGCCGCAGGACCTTCGAGCCTGGCCATGCAGCCGGGCTACTTTCATCACCATCATCATCATCAGCAGCAGCAGCAACAGCAGCAGCAACAGCAGCAGCAGCAACAGCAACAGCAGCAACATCAACCGCACCAGCAACATCATCAGCAATATGCCACACGCAGCAGCTTGGAGGGCGCTTCCTTTAATAAAAGTCATTTTCACGGGACGAAAAATAGCTTTGAGCAAATTCCGGCGGGTCAATCGAGCGTCAGCTCGCCCATCTACGTGGAAGATGAGACCATTGTGCTGACCGAGGACGAGGATGAAACAGTTGTCAGTTCCCATGACTACAATGAGTACGCCACGGACACGGAGGAAGTCAACGAGGGCGACGATGAGACGCAGCAGGTACAAGTCAGCGATAATGGCGACGACGATGAGGAGGAGGTGTTTGTGGATGTCCTGGGCAGTGACGATGACGAGGATGAGGCGGCGGACCCGGTGGCCACAAGATTGCAGGCCCAACTAATGGAGACCACCGCCCTGAAACGCAACGAACTGTTGTATGAGGATGAGGAGCTGCACAATCAGGCGGTAAATGGTTTGGCCAGGCTCTTTGATAGGGATTTTCCAGAACCTGATGTGGAGGTTAGCGAACTGGCGGATGTCCAGAGCAACAGCGGGAAGACCTACACGGATCTCAGTGGCGTGGCAACGGTGGAGACTAGACCGCCAACTAGTTCCGCCAACCTGGCACCACCTCCTCCACCTCCGCCGCCTCCAACGACTTCTTCTTCTATCCCTGCTACACCTCCTCCTCCACTTCCACCTCCACCCACATCTCGACCACACAAGTCCGAACGTAGGAGGTCGAAGCTACGGAAACACATGGCCATCGATGAGGAGACCATAAGCCCAGTTTCCGGCACCATCATTCGCAAGCTGCGCGACGACGAGGAGCTGGTGGTGCGCAAAGGTGACATTGATCCGGCTTTCAATGTGGTCGAAATCACCGAGGAGGCCAAGGCCATCCTGGCCAGCATCGACAACAAGATTGGCGACTACATGTGCCAGCTCTGTCGCACCGTCTACGATGACGCCTTTATGTTGGCCCAGCACCGTTGTCCCCGCATCGTTCACATCGAGTACAAGTGCTCCGAGTGCGAAAAGGTTGGTGGCCAAGTCAGCAGGGAGGATTTGCTAAAACACTTTTCCCTCGCAGGTCTTTAATTGCCCGGCCAACTTGGCCTCCCATCGCAGATGGCACAAGCCGAAGGCGGATGTGGCCGGCGCTAATCCCGCCAAGAAACGGGCTGTGGAAACGGGCGATCTGGTTCAGGAGGCGACTAGGAGCGGCGATGATGCCAACGATGGCATTTATCCCTGCCATATATGCGGAAAGACCTTCCGACGGTGAGTTATATCATCATAGTGCAACTTTCGGGAAAAACTATAATATCAAATAAGTTATTCGGTATTTAGAATATGCTCAAATATTTTTAAACAGTTAATGTAAATGCTCACCTTTATTTTCCACAAACAATAGTCAAGCTTACCTGAAGAAACACCAGGCCTCCCATCAGATGTTGGATAATCTCAAGAACCTGGATTTCTTCAAGTCCCAGCAGCAGCAGTTGGCTATCAATGGCCACCCATTGCCCGATCATGTCCAGCTGCAGCACACAACTGGACAGGCGGTCCCCAGCGCCGCTCCATATGCCTCCTTGCCACGCCCGCCGCCTGGCATGCCCATCTATCCGCCCCCAAGTGGTAAGAACTACGGGGGTGGACAACGCTTTCCTGGATTTCCCTTCCAGTCCTTCGATCAGCGGCGCTTCTACTCCCTTGGAGAATTCTACCTATCGCAGCACTTGGAGCGATCATCGGCTTTCCAATACGTGCAGGCCAATCACCTGAGGCAACTGTCGAGTGTGGCCCAAACTTTAATGCCTCCTCTGCCCGTCAAATGACCCAATCCCAATACGAATGTCCTGCGGCCGGTGCCACGCATTGCGGCAACAACAACGGCCACAGGACCTCCAGCGGCAGCAACAGCAACAGCAACCAGGCAAGTGGCAACTGCTGCGGGAGTGTCCTCCGTTGGCCACGCCTTCAATTGGGTGGCACCTTCGGCCGCAGCTGGAAATGCACCGGAAAATGCAACTGCAACTGCAACTGCCACGGCGACGACTGCGGAGTCCGGCGGCAATGTTATCATGTGACTTACCAACTATTAGCAGCATTGAATCAACGATCCCTAGTTAAAGTTTAATAAATCAATCAAATTATAAGTGCGTCTTTTACTCGGTGACAGCCATTTCAATTTTATATAAATATATTTAAATATGCATTTACATATGTAAAGTGCGCTAAGGTCGAGTTCTACTTCGGCTGAGGACATGCGATACTGCGTGTGCCAGGAAGGTTTCCTTGCGGACACCGCGAAAAATGGAGGACTTGGGGCCTTGAAATATTTATTAATAAACATGAGCTAATTAATAAACTAAATTCAATAAGGTTCAATGGACGGGGTTACTCACCCTGTGCAAAAAGTAAGCTTTCCGATGGAATTTGGTGCAGTCGTTTTTGGATCTCAGATTCCGCCTCATTAAAAATCCCCGCAAGGAGGCTGATTGCCTCAGTTTCTTCGCTGACATCCAGGCTTGCTTTTGGATAGATGGCATTGGTCATTAGGAGCAGTGTTAAAGTGTCCTGAGCCTCGTGAAGATTAGCCAACGTATCATTCAAAAGCTGCAACTGCTCTCTTTTGTTCATGTTGGATGCTATAAATTGCTCAACTATGAGCAGATATCCTTGCTGATATTTATTAAGCACTTTCAATGACTTCTGCACCATTAATGTCAGACTTGGGGCCTTTGAATTGCCACTCAAGTCTCCATTGGCCATCACACCCATTAAGTAGTCAAAACTACTTGCATTTAGGGACTCCAGCTCATCGGTTCGCTGAATCAAATCGAATACTATTGGCTTGACTTTGCTCTCCCTCAGTTTTTGGGTTCTCCAATCCTTCAGCAGGTTGCGTCCATCGTTGGACTCGCAGAGCAGCTCATCCACTGGATCGTATTTGGTCTTGGGCACCAGACTGCTCAGCATTTGCCTGCCTCCACCGATGAGCACATTAAGAGCTTGAACAGTTTCACCAGACATCAACTGATGGGCTATATCCTTGCAACCGGATCTTATGGAGCTCAAAGGCATCCTTTCATCGCATTCAAAGTTGCCATTTGTATTTCCCAAAGCCGCTCCTGTGGATCCTGTAAGCCTTTGAGTGGTCACAAACCCAGTTCGCAGGCCAGCCAATTGAGCCTGTCGAAGAATGCTTATCGGGGCTTGCGTGGCATTAAATACCCTTCCGCAATCCTCCTGACTTTCTGGAACTTTATCCAAAGGTATGCCCGACCAAAGAGTTCTGGAAACACTGGCCACTTGACAGGGAACCTGTTGACTACAGCTGTTTTCCAAGCGAGCCAAGTGGGGAAAGTGATCCCAAACAAAGTTGCTACTGCCTTGACTATCTTTAGTTGGAAATCGAAAAGCAGCCAAGTCACGTCCATCGATTCCCTGAACCACAAATATCCTCACGCTTCTAGGATACGTCGAATCCATTGGCCTAAGTGCTTCGTTGAGCTCATCAATGCCTTTATCGTACCAGATTTTCTGCGAGGGCGCCACCTTATCCCTCCAATAATCCACATCCGCCACGTTGGCCACCTCGTTCTCTACCTCGTACCTGGTCATAAAGCTAATGCAGAGCAGTGTGACCATTACCGTTACCAAACATGTTCCGGCCACCAGGAACACCTGCGTTGACTTCAGCCGAATAATTTGGCAAATCTCCTTGGTCCGCTGAGTGGTTACCATTGCAAAGATGCGGCCAAAACTGATATACAATCGCTCTCTACTTCGGGCTATATCATAAAGAACTTTATCTGCTATCTGCTGTTCGAGATAAGGCTTGGATTCTCCTTAGAAGAATTACGGCCCCCAATCGTTGGCCGTTTTGTCGGTCTTAAGTGTAGCAATTAACCCACGTCATGAATTATAAATGCACTAATTGGCGTGTCAACTAATGCAAAAATGCAGAGAGAGAAATTGTGTTCAATAGATTTAAAAACCATAAGTGTTTAGTGTATACACAATAATAGTTACACTGCTTATAGAGTTTATTTTCAAGTTAGAAATCACACTTTATTAGTCACTTGAATTATTTATTAATTAAAATGCTTAGGTGTATATTGAATATGATATGGTTGTTAATGGAAAAAAATATGTTACGCTCTGAATTACTCAATATTTTGACCAGTGCACAACATTGAGAATTCCGAGTTCAATTGCCGTTTTGAGGGGTCAAAAACATCTCAGCTTTGGCCATTAACTATTTCTCACGTTTGTGTGGGCCACAATTGATTTGCGAGTTGGTCTAAAGCAGCCCAAGTTGTCAGCAAAATGGAATGAAATGGCCTCTTGGCCCTGGTAAACGACAAATACTAATTGTCATTTGGCATTCAAATAACGTTTTCAATTTCCACCCCGAGCGACAAACTATTTCGCTTATGAATTCTCGCCCAATTAAATTGGCTAACACAGAGTGCAGCAACGGTTTGTTCATTTGCCAGTTATGCGAATGCGAATGCGAAATTGTTGCCTCAATTACCTGCCATTAGCCCGCATTTACGCCCCCTTAATACCATTCCATCCCAACCCCGCCCACTCTGTTAGCCACGTCCGTCATTTCGTCGCTTTGAAGTTGCTTTGCATTGACATGTGGTCAGTTTTCCCCCGTTGAAACTGTCACAATTTCAATTCGAATCCCACTCAACTGACAATGCCACTCGGTCGGATATTACTTTGACTATCGGTTCGGTCCCTTTATCTGTTTGTTTTTCCAACTTGTCTTGGCTTGCGGAAATCGCTGACCAATTTCAATGACAATTTTTCAATCATGCTGTGATTTTGCCTGTCAAACAGCAGCACACGTTGCGTATGCGTAACATGAATAGGGGTGTGAGTTTCCTTAGCTGCCTTCCCACCCCAAACCAATGCGTAAAGGTAATTATAGGGTTCGATACGAGTTCCAGTGGATTTTTGCAAGATTGGTCCTTATTGTTATCAAAAGCTGTACAGATTATTATGAAAAATGAATTTAAATGCACAAAAAATTAAGCAAACCTAAGATAATACTGCCGAAAGAATATTTACCCAAGCACTATACAATCATAGCTTCTAGTCTAGCTTTTATGGTTTATTTTACATCTAATAAACCAATAAAAAAGAATAAAACTAAGCTGAAAAATAAAATCCTTTAATAATTCATATTTGCCTAATGTTTTAGTTTCCTTCAGCTCATTTTGAAGGTAACGTATTTGCTACTTTATTGTCGACTAGAACCGAATACACGTCTATAGAAATCAGGATGGCAACTCCCGAGTAAGCTTCTTTGAGAGCTTTTGAAAACGCCCTCTGTTGATGAAATATTGAAGCTTTCTAGTGGCATGATATCTTGGTTCTATAATATAATAAAATGAAAACGACAAAAATGAAAAAAAGTATCGAGATTATAAACAGAACAGCATATCAATTATTTAATTGATATCATTATTAATGCATAACTAAAAATTATCCTCAGAAAATTGCAATAGTTGTATATTACTTTAAAGGATAATTACAAAAGCTAAGTAAGCCGAGTTTATTTATAGACTCTTACAACTATCTTATACCTTAAAAATAACCTTTTCATTATACACAGATTGTATTTCTGACGGGTGAGATTGCTAAATTTCTTGCTTATCAACAATCAGACCGCAAAACTACGATAGGAAACAATTTAAAACGAATAAAGTATACAAACAGCTGTTGAAATCTGGTCCGGCTCACACAGGCCGAATCATTTATAGCGAAAATGGCATTTCGTATGCATCCGACAAGCGCCGCAGGATGCAATTAGCGGCGAGTGGCCATCAAGTTACCAGAGCCATCGAGGACAGGAAGACGAGGTGGCCAGGAGAGCTGGGGAGAAGGAGACGGCAACCGAGGAACCCGATAACATGGCCAAGAACAGTGCTTTTGACGGACAGCAGCCTCAGGAAGTCGACGGGCGTGACGCATATGGGTCACTTGGCCTGGCCCACGTCAATGGCTTGCAGGATGCCGAGCTGATGCCAGCTGCTGCTGCTGCTGCGTCTTCTACTGCATCACACCCACGCCCAGGCCTGTGGCCACGCTCACGCCCGGAAAACTGGGTGTTTCCCCGACACCAATGGAATTCATATGCAGTGTAAGAGAGTGTAAGAGAGAGAGACGGAGCATCTCTCCACAACCATGACCTTGCCCCTCAAATATAAATACTCATCATCGTGTGTTGTTTGCATTCCAACGGCGCCTGCCTAAAACATTTTCCGTGTTCGCTTTCCATATGGTAAGAAAAGCGGAATTTCCTTGACACATTTTCAGGGGAAAATAATGCAAGGCCCAGCAAATGGAATACCCAATTAAACATTAATTGGACACGCTTAGTGCGAATTACGCAAATGTGCAATAAAAAATCGCTTGATTTGCTAATATTCGATTGAATTAACGCCCAAGTGCAACGGAGTATACATACACACAAAGTAAATTAATATGCACACACATACATATATAACCAACATATAAACAATATTTCAAGGACATCCTCTATAGAAAACAATATTTCCTATTATTAGCTTTAACAATATATAATATATGTATATTTACTATTACTATTTAAGAAACACTTATGTCTTCAACTCCTTTTTTTACTGCTTATAATCAAATCATTACTGTTTATGTTCAAGCCAAATCATAACATTTCTCAGATTCGTTGTTGATGGGCCATATAAACATTATACGATTGCGGGATGGTCCACGCCCACTCTGACGCCCACAAGTCAGAAAACCGTGTCATTGACGTCAGATAGTCGTGTGCAACAAACATAGTCGTCGCTAGGTGCTTATTTGCGATTATTATATCTCCATATCCCAGCGCTACCCTATGAGTAAGGGGTATCTGATAGTGCAGCAATTGCAAGACAGTGTCTTCTCAAATTGAGCACCTGTAGCTTAAATCGCATAATTTGAACGGTATACAATGTATAACTTAATAAAATAGTTTGCAAGTCGATAGTAAGACGCCTGAGGTCAACTGCAGCATTGGATTGATAAGAAAATTTCCACTTAACCTACACGTCTTTGCGTCTGCCATAATTGGTATTTCTCTACATTGTTTACGCTTGATTGCATGCCATTCTCATTGCCATTTGACAGCAATTTATATAATACGGGGGCATTGTCAAAGGGGATGAGCAATATGACTAGTCTATCATGGGTGTAATAAATGATGCAGTGGGTTGGAAAATTATTCATTCCAATCTTGGCAGCGCGTTTTCAAAAGTACCTCCAAAACATCTGTCATGCTATCTTATATAAATTTTATACGAGTATACATAGGACATACATAAACTGAGTTAGTCCACATTTGTGAAAATACTTTCTACAGTGCACTTTAATCCAAACTTAACTACCAAACGTCAACTGCATTTAAGACTTCGACATCATTATCCAAGCTTGCAATTTTCCTTATTTTTATTTTTTTTCCCCGTGCTGTCTTAGATTATTTTTTAAATGTTTGGCAAACACGGAGTGGAAAAACACGCGGCGATAAGACGAAGTGGGAAAAGCGAAGGAAAAGAAGGGAACGGAAGAGAGATAAAACAGAGAAGTTGTATTTTATTGATTGTGTGCACTTGCGGCTGTGTGCGTGTGTCATTCGTATCTGTATCTGTGGCTGTGCTGAAAAATAGGTAACAACTGACGATGCACACAAACACATTGACACACTTTCATATATAACCATATATATTTCTATTTATGTGTGTATGTATATCTCTGGCATGGCCTTGAACGTGAATTGCATTCGAGCTCGAAAAGCAAAAAAAAAGTATAGGGAAAAAACAGTCACCGAGCGCACAAGAGAGAATAATATAGACTAGATACCCGACTATCAGATACTTGTTACTCAGCTAGTGGACATGCGACGATAAATTTCAGGCGTTCATACGGACAGACAGTCATGACCAGTTTGACACAGCTATTGATCCTGATCAAGAATATATATACTTTATATGGTCGGAAACGCTTCCTTCTGCCTGTTACATACTTTTCAACGAATGTAGTATACCCTTTCACTGTACGAGTAACGGGTATATCAAGATGCTAGGCGAGCGAGATGACGAATGTGCGAGCGAGATGGCCAGACGTCGCAAAAAAATGTACCAAAGCGAAAAGTTTGAACGCACACAAGCGCAATTTGCCAACTGCATTTCCCCCACTCTCGCTCTCTCTCTCGTCCTATCTCTTGCTTCCTCTAAAGCAGGCCCTCTCTTTCCAGCGGTGAACTAAGAATTTCAAGGTTACCGCATACACATACAAATCAAATCGCTCATGTGATGTGCACTCTATCGCTTTCTCTGTCGCACGCTCTTTTTGGCAGATATGGAAAGCTACCGAAAATAATTAGATTTTCAAATGCAATTTCATGTTTTGGCTCCTCCTGACGAACTGCACAGTTGTCTGCACAAACATTTCTATTTGAATGTACACAGGGCGAAAAGAAATACTACATGTACATACAAGCGTACATATATAAACAAGGAATATACATATGTATATCCTGCATAAAATGTATGTTAGTAATTCTTATAAAAATGTCAATTTTTTAAGCGGCGTCCTTTAAGTGTTTCTAATTTTGTTCAGTGCCTGCCAACTTGTATCGCATGTTCTCTGCCCACATTTGCATCTTTTCATCTCCGCTTGCCTACGAAATCATTATCGCATGGATACAATTTTCAGTTTATCCGCATTTTTCCGTATTCTATTTAATAATTTTAGCAACCATTTCCAACAGCATTTTCCTGTGTTTATTTAGCTTATACGTGGGTGTGTGCAACTCAGCGGTTGAGGGTGAGTGTCCGTGTTAATTGGTTTTGAAAATAACATTTACATGCTTGAAATGCATTTTGATTAATTGGCGCTGCAACTTACAAAGTTAATGGAAAACGCTGGCCATTTTTGGGGTCCCCGTTAACTGAGTTATGATCGAGAAAAGTGATTAGCTCTGCCATTAAAACACCAATTGGGTCACAGCAATTTCCTGCATCAATAGGAGAAAATTGCACAATATTGCTCATACGCCGTGTTGCCAAGCCGCTTCCAGAAAATGTGCAATGCTCTTTTCGTCAGGGGAAGTGAGTGACGAGGGGTCAGCACATACACATAAATGCCGCCCTCAATGGGGGTGCTATAAGCCCCCAAATGTCAAAGTTGAATGCACAATATAAAAGTCGATGTCGGCCTGGGGAAATGCCAGCATATAGCAAATGCAAGTGAAATTGAAATCGAAATGGGAATAGGAATAGGAATGAAAATGAAAATGGAAGTGGAAGTGGGTATGAAACGGTGAGTCATTTGGCACACTTGTCCGTCCAGTGCAACGACCAACATATGCTGCCCATTAGCTTTACCGTTGCATAAAAGCTACCCTCTGGCTCTCTTTTTTCTGTTTTCCGATTCTGTTGCCGCGCTCCCCCGGCAATAAGCGAAACATGAAAGCGAAATTTCTGGCACATATTTTACAAACATCGACTGCAGACAACGCGTCGCAAGTAGCGATGAATCATTTGCACTCTACATTCACCACCGAGCTGCACTTCTGCGAAAGCTCTCTCTTTTGCTCACCGTTCCATTCCACGGCGTCTCACACGCGCACAAGCATACACACACACACACACATATTGTCAAGCAGGGCGAATGTAGCGTTGTAGCAAGTATATATTTTAAAGTCACTGTCAAGGTCACCTACTACAGTCATGCGCTGCAAATGGGGATGGGTAAGGGCGTTTGTTGCAGCAGCAGCAAATTCGACCGAATCAGCAGCTACCTACCTACACACAGTGCTGGCGAAATGTAGCCCTCCCACTCTGTAACATTTGCCCCAAAGAATACACATTCTATAATAGATGCGCTTCAAGCTCCGACCGCACAGCAATTACTATAAGAAATACATATATTTATCGCAGGGGATATAAATACGTCTCTTCATTTAAATCGGGCTTACAGGCGAGCCACTGATTTCGGCGCTACTGAGCAAAGCTTGGTTTATTTTTAGAAGGAAATTTAATTTTAATTAAAAAAAAAATCTAACAAAAGAGTTAAGTTGATTTTGAAACCAATCCCCTGATGATGATCATTGAAATAAAAGAATATTGGTACTTTTCTTAATGTATTTTTAATGTTCTCAAACATTAAAAGTAGTCGAGAAATAGCTACATCCGAAAAAAAAACTATTAGGTTTCAAGATAGGCATTCTATATTATCGGGCAAATAACAACATTTCTTGGCTTTAATATTTGTAGTCCTTTTCCGATTTTCTAAGTAAATTTCAATACGTAACTAAATTCAGTCGTTAGCGGTAATGCAATTTTGTTCATTTCCCCACAGTGCCAGCGATAGAGTAGTTTCCTCCGCTTCCGTGCAGGAAAAGTGGACGCAAACAGTTGGTGGTGACTGTGCAAGTCATGGTTGTGTGTACGGGACGAGCAGTGGTATGTATTTGTATATGGGGTATATATGTGCCACTATATAAGCTTCGGTGTGCGCCAGTGCAATCGCATGTGTGTATTTGTAGCTGTATCTGTGTCTGCATTCATATACGTATCCGTATCTGAGTACCCTTTACAGCGGCATGGTGCGCATGACATAAGAAATAACAAAAGGGCGCACGAGATAGTAAGTTATGAAAGTCCACAGCCCGACATGCACTAACATCTGTTGCATATAGCCGATGATATAGATACGGATATGTACATGCATATGTATGCACATGCATCGCCAGGAATACATATATTTACCTGAAAATATGGCACCTACGAGAGCTGCTAGCGATATATCTGCGAATGCAAGCGTTACAAAGTGCCTAGGTATGCAAGAGTTGCACTTAGCGCATTTAATTTAATTAAACAATTAAACAAACATGGCGGACAGCGTTCTCTTGGTCTCTCGCGAAACCAACACATACACCAGCCCCCAAACAAATTCAATTAAGAAATTAAAGTCGAAATGCCAGCAATGTTTGTGCTACTAAAAACAGAGACCCCCTTGGGAGGCGTAGCAGGCGAGAAAGAGATGCAACCATGCCCTGTGTGGGGACTCAGTTTTCTTAGTCTTAGAAATCGAAATCGCATGACCTAGCATCGTGCACAATGCACATACATATGTATGTACATATGTACGCATGTAGGTATTGGCAGGTCCCACCTACATACGTTAGATATATGACAGCAAATATCCGTGCACTTTGCAGGGCCAGTAAGCCAAGTAATTATTGTATTTGCCTCCTATCACTACAAAAATTGTGTGTTGCAAGCGGCAGTTAGTCAATAAATGCGCTAATTATATACAAATGTATAAATATATACGAAAGCCCAGAACCAGTAGATACACAGCGCACTCAGTGCACATACAGTGGGCGCCCTTGGGAAGGAATTGTCACACAAAACGATTCTGTAAGCAAAGCTAAAACGGTATTTGTTTTTAGAAAACGCTGGAAACTAATCTCATCGGCCAGAAAAAGAATGTAAAGTAAAGTAAAAGTAAGGAAAGTACGTATTTTTTGTCATAAATCTAAACTCCTTCTTAGCTAAAGATCACTGTTTTGTAAGTAAAGTAGTCCTCAGCCCGTTGACCACCTCTAGCGGGTGATCACTGTAGCAGCGGCAGTAAACGAGGCGCGTCGGGACCGACTGCACAACTTAAACTAGTAACTACTCGCCAAGAATGGGAAAAGGGACGGTGTTGGGGAAGGGGTAGGGCACCAGAGGGAGACGGCGATAGAGAGGGCGAGTGAGAAAGCGAAAGGGGATTAGATGAGGAATACCTGTCCATGTGTGAGTTGCTGCGAGAGCGCTGCCCTGCAGTTCCATTCACCGCCTCTTCATCAGTGAATCAACACTCAGTACAAATCTGGAGCACCTAATCCCCGCTCAATTTGTAAGAAAACTAGCGCTGATTTTAACACGACATGTCATAGGAAATCATCGCTAAGGCAAACACCCCAAAGACAACGCTAAACCAGCGGTGTTCTTTTAGCACAATTTAGTCACCAAATGCCCACTCATTTTTGAAGAGAGTGAAATTTCCTTACATTTTTAGAGCGAGAGCGTCGCTGTGCAACGATGAATTGTGGAACTGCACTACCACCACTGCAGGGTGCGCTCTTCCCCTGCGTTATTACATAACATCCTTGAACTTGAGCTGAGCTCGCCAGAGTTCCCTTTCAAATGCAATATACACGTATATGTACATATGTATCTCTCCAATACATATGTATGCTGCTTTCTTCTGTGCCCCATTCTTCCTTTGTCTCCCACACTTTGACCACTTCGTTTCTTCTCTCTTCGCGTCGGAAGCTAGCGGGCTTTTCAGCAGGCGCAACGACGACGGCTCGGCTCTGTCGCTTTCTGCTGGGCTGCGCGTTGGCATTGAAACGGCGGCAGGCGAACTGTCAACATCGCTCCATTCCCAGAAAATTCCCAATCGGAAGCAGAAGAATTCTAAACACTTTTTGCTGTGTACTGCATATAATAGCCACCTCAAAAAAGAGCCAGCAAACAATGCCTCCATTATTCGCAACAAATTAGACACGCAAATGACATCAACAGCGAATTTGAATCAGTCAAAAAACCAAACCATTCAAAACGGAAAAGCAAATAAAATGCAAAATAATTGGAAATTAATTGTGCTCAATTCTACGTGAAGTGCCTGCCATATCAACAAAAAAGAATCAAAGATAAACACACGAGACGGTAATTACGCCGAACATAATTGAAATCATTTTAAGTGCATTATATGGTGTGATCAAAAAAACTCGAAAAATAAAAACCGAAACCGAAATGGATCAGAGAATGCAAGCGAATTTCAATATTTGATATATGTGACCAGTGAGTTTCTACATAAAGATACAACAATTAAAAACCAATTGGAAGAAGTCAGTGAAACTATAAAATGAAATGAATCAAATATCCAAGGGGATCATAAAAGGTGAGCATTGTTTTACAAACTAATTCAAAATTACATCCACTTTTTGAGATTGTTGATTTCGTCAGCCAGAACCTAATGATTTTCACCTGCTTGTAATAAGCATATGCACATTTGCAATTTTAGCAGAATATTACTAATTCTTTAATGTATTGAGTAATTTTCCATTTAAACTAGTATCTAGAGTTCCAAGTAACCTAAGCAGTCAAAACGCAGTTTAAAATGTCCAATTACTCGTGTTCCTTTGCTCGAACTTTGAAAGCTCTGTGGAGCTTTTCGCTAGGATCAAGGGATGAGGATCTCGCTACCCCACGAACCCTTGAAATTCTTGTTCAGCCGAATTGTTTTGTTTTGCTTCGGCTAGAAAAAGCGTCGCAATAAAAACAGGAATCCGCAAAAAGCAAAAGTGAGTTGCAAACACAGATAAAAGTGCGCAGAAATGAGGGGAGGAGAATAATGAATGAAATAATCGTGGAGAGGGTGAGTGGAGCATGAGAGGCGACGACAGTGTGCGAGAGAGCCAAGCCAGTTTGAAGGCCATTGCGATGAAAATCTCGTGCGCTCTTCGGGTTTTCGAAAGGGGCAGTATGGGGCAGTAGGACAAAAGTGGAAGACAAAACTGCTCGAAAGCAGGCCCAAGAAACAGGAACAGGAAGAATCGAAAAAACTTCACGAACAGAGAGAGAGAGAGAGTGAGCTAGAGAGAGAGTTCGACGTCGACGCTGGCAGAGGCTGCGCTGCGGCAGAGGCGAGAACTTTCCATGGCAGAAAAAAAGCGGGGACATTGAACATCGGCGCCTTCAACCGATCGCATTTGTTGTCTGTAACCTCAAGCCAAAAAATAATTCATAAAAATAATACGCCTAAAAATACAAGTTAAAGAAATTAAAATTTAAGAAAGACGAATTTGTACGGATTCATTTTTTTTTTCTTGCGCGAAAAGTGACGTATTCCTATCCTGGCGGAAAATTCGCCCTTCTGCCGTCAGAAAACCCGAACAAAGTGCATGCTGGAAAAACAAAATGTATCGGCGAACACAGACACAAAAAGAAATGTGGCAGAAAGCACAGAATGTGAGTAAACTGAATTGCGTCGTAGTTAACATTTTTTTTGACGGCGTCATCAAAGGCAAAACGCCACCCCCGCCGCGGCCCTTTTACCAACCGCTTTCCGTGATTGTGAAAAATACAGTCAACAATTGCTAAAAGCTAAGTTTTAATACCAGGGGCGCACCAAAGAGGGGTTGGGTGGTTTGGAATACGTAGAACCCTCGATTGGATACTTCATTTTGGTGTATTACAAGCCAGTGTTTGTAAATCGAAACATTTATTCGAAATATGTCGGAATGTCAGTTAGAAAATATGTTTTTAAAGAATACTCACTACCACGACTTTTCACATCCCCTTGCAAAAAACCCACACGCCCCTGTTTGCAAAAATTCTCTCTCTTGCACACACACGCACACAATGACACCCAATATGTTTTGGCCATCTCTCGCAATCATTTGTTTTCCTTTGCCCGGAATTTGCAGAAATATCAAAATTTATTTATAACATAAACAACACAAATTAAGCCAACCCAAGAAAAAATATATAATCGCGAAAAAAACGCCTCAATGGTAGCGAAAATAAACAAAACAAATGCGAAAAAGCTTCTAAACAGTTCCGTTTATACACATACATATGTATCTACAAGTCAAAAGAAAAAACCAAAGCCAAAACGAAACCCAATCGGAATTTGGCCAAAGGGAATTATGATTCTCAGGAACTTTGCGCGAAATGATGATGGCTCTACTTGCGTGCGAGTGTGTGTGTGTGTGTTGCCATTTTGTTTGTCAGCTTTCCAAGTTGTTTATGACTTCACTCGGCAAAAACAATTAGACACTAATTTGCTGGAAATTGTCGCTAATGGAGGCGCACTCTCCATCGGTTTGATTTTGATTTAATTATAAACAAATTTGAAAATTTAAAAAAACATCTAAATACAATCACAGCTAAGATAAGTTCGTAGACACAAGTCAAGCCTTGAAACATGGCAAAATATAACGATAAATTTGATTAAATGTTTAAATTATAATTGTTGAAAAACCGAAGCTACTACTTGTCAGATACATCTTTGTTCTATGAGATAGAGTAAGAGATCGACAATTGATGTGTTTAACTTTATATTGCATCTATCAATTCAATGGGTCGTAAAAAGCGTGTTTACTACCAAGCCGTTCATAGAATTGCTAAGCATTCGGATAACTTTGTAGATTTACGATCAGCGGTCAGTCAGCCTGTTGATTTCCGATTGCATCACGTGTCATCAGCAGATCGACGCTTTTATATTCTGTATTCCTATAGTCAACCAATGTACAGATGTTGTTCGTGTATGTGTGACTCAGATTATCTACTGATTACACAATTCTGTGAAATTGTAAACTGCAGTTCGCCCAGAAAGGCGGCACTGGAAATTCAGCTCCCTCCCCTTGCCACAGTGGAAAACCACAGGCAACCTACACAATGCCATTTTCTTAAATTTGAACTTGACTCAAGTTCGCGTGCAGTATTCTTTTTGCACAAGATCCGAGCTCATCGATGTGCCTGCATTCGTATTGGTGTGGGTAAACGGGACTTCGAAATTTGTTTTCGTTACTCTCGCCCCATCTCAGCACGGCCCACACTCATTACGGAATTACTGGCATGGGAATGAGAAAGGGGTATGGGATGGGGATGGGCAAGAAGAGTCATTTACACGGTACACAGTGAAGAAAATTATTGGAAAATTATTCCATTTGAATGGTCTGTACTTAAATTTAATCTTTCAGAATTATTTTCCTCTGATAACATTCCAGTTCACTTATCTACTAATAATTGAAGTCGGCTTGAAATACTATCTCATTTAGTTGCCAGTCAACGCGTGATTATCATATTGAGTTCCAAGGCATAGTGGACGATCATGGCGTATACGTAATACAAATGTAATATGAGAAACACTCAAATGCCTGATACATTAATTTAAACTATTTGTAGATTAGTAGATACAATAATCTACTTGTTAACATTAGATGTGATTAGAAATGTTTACCTTAAAGAAATCAAGATTATGAAACATTTTGTTAAAGACCAACTTTATTGTTTAAGGGCTTTTTTTTCTGTGCAGTTTTAATTGCCCAGTGGCGCCATTTGTATGCGAGCTAGAGAGTGTATAGATGGTGTTTGGAGATGTTGGTGGAAGGGGTGATATTTTTGGGGGGCGGTACTGAGATGGCCAGGTGCTCGCCATATTACGGTATGCATCGCGTAAGCTGCAGCTCAAAATGGGCAATACTGTGAACGAGAGAGATAGAGCGTTATGCAGAGAGAGCGACACACACACAAAAGCTCTGTCGACGTCGGCAGCGGCAGAGGCGACAGCATCGCGTGCTTCAGTGTGTCGCTCTCTCTTCTGCGCCCCTGTATGCGTGTGTGTGTGTGTGTGTTTCAAGTTCAAGGTTAAGATACTAGTTGTACATACAGCACTTAGACCGAGAGTGCGAGCGAACTGGCAATACGTAGTTACCATAGTGCTGTGCTGTACCCAAATGCATTTGTGTGCGTCAGTGTGTGTGCGTCAAACCAGTTTGGTGAGAAAGAGACGCCTACACGTGCGGTGGCAAACAAAGAGGAAGCAAAAGCAGCACATAAAGCAAAAAGCAGAGGCACCAAACACATCGAAAGCAGAGGCGAAAAGTACGAACCGTAAACACAAAAAGCGGCGACGGCAAACATCCACTGGCAATCGAATAAAAAGCGAACAAACATCAGCCGCGCTCTTTCACACACACGGTGGGGTCTCATCTACACAGAGAGAATACTCTATGCAACCAACACAATAATTAGCCAAAGAAATTCGAATTTTAAACGATTTTAAAGATATGATAAAATATGGCTTTAGGAACTTTAAACTTTTTTTTGGCTAAAGCGGATAAAGTTGATTTCCCCGCTCGATTTGCAACACTTATTCGCACTTATTATTGCTCTATGCGTTTTGCCTTTCAGTTTTATTATCTTTCGCGCGAACACACACACACACGGTATATACCGTGGAGCTTTAATTGAATTGATGTTGATGATTACGCTGAGTGGCGACTGCAATCATCGCCTCCCCCTTTAGCCCTCTTTCGACCAGACCGACTACCTGCCAAAGCAAAACGAGAATTTCTGTTGGCCATTTTAATAATCGACAGCGTGTTCTTACTTAATGGACTCCGTAGCTCAACGGTAAACACAGCAAAAGGCTAGAACTTCGGATCCCCAAAACCATGAAATCGATTCCACGCATAGCTCAAATTTTTCCACTGACAAGAATAAAGAAAAATATTTCTGTCTATTTGGTCATCTGAGTATGATCTTGGACATTAAAAGAGGCATATCAATTTTAAAAACAGATTTCATTCAAACCACTGTTTTTAAAAAGATTGTTTTATAACATTTTTACATTTAAGCATTATATGAAGATAAGTACATGTGTATTACCCACTGCGCTTTTATCTAGGTATTTTTCAAGTTAAGTTCTTGTGGTGTGTGTGCACATTCCGACAAAAATTGCGCCTTCATGAAATGTGCAAACGAATGGCAAAGCAAAATGTTTGTTTATAGACGGACCAATATGCGGCGGAATCGATAATCTTGGCGTGCATTTTATCGATGGTGTTCTAAACAAAAACCTCTTTGTTTGTTTATTTTTAGGGTGGCGAGCTGCGTCAGCATGGAAATTTAATTAGCGACAGTTCAGTTCAGCTGAGCGGCCATAAGTCGAATGGATTGGATGGCCCACTGTACCGCCCAATGACCCACCCCCTGCAGCCACCCACAACCACCCAGTGGGCCACGCGATGGGGCCAGGGGGAGGAGGAGGTTTCGTTGATTTTTGCATGACGACAGCAAAAAGCGAAAAGGCGAAACAACAATCGAAATGCAACTGCACGAATGTGTGGGTGTGCGAGCGAAGCAGCCTATCTGAACCAGACATGCGCTCTCTCTCTCACCGACTTGAACTTGAAAATTTTTTAGTGCCGGCAAAACGAGAGAGAGCGGAAGAGAGCGGCAAAGAGAGAGCGCTGAGCAGGTATGTGTGTGTTTTCCATTGATTAGCTTAGACAAAAACAAAATCAGAGCAGAGCGCAAGCTTCGCTCCCGCAGCTTTTGCTATTCGCGAGAGCAAGTGAGCGAGAGCGCAGCTTTTGCGTGGGTGGCTTAAGGCAGCGCAGTCGACGTCGCTGCCGGCGTCGGCCAACTGTTTGCTGTTTTGTTGTAGGCACATACTGTTGCATACTTACGGGGATAGGAGGCGAAGTAGCGGGAAAACGGTAGTCGTCGGGTGGCGGTAACCAGTGGGGTGGGGGCGTGACCTCCACCTGTGCGAGCCCAGCTGCAGCTTCCCCGTTGGCCAAGTTGGCCAAGTTTATTCGGTGACGAGCGGGCGACCGATGAGGTCAGCATCACGCATACGCCTAGTTATCCCCCCGTGTGCCCAGTATCCTGTTCGGTGTTATTTTCAGTTCGTACGCTTGTGTGTGTGCCCGTGTGCGGTTCGTTCCAAGTTCATTTTAAAGGCGCGTCGCCCTAATGGCGAAATCAGGTGTGGAGAATTGATTAGCACACAGCCCGAAAATGGGAGAAAAATACAAACAATATGGTCGCTGCGTTGTGTGTACTTACATAAAACTCAATTCAAGTGACGCACGCCAGCATATGGCAATTAAATTTGAATAATTAACCAGCTGAGAGCGACACGGACGGTGCTCCTTTCCGCACACACACACATACACACACGCAAACGGGCATACGGACACACTAATACTAACTCGCCACTGCCATATGCAACACTCACTGTTGTTGTTGTTGTGGTTGTTGTTATCCTGCACCTTGACCTTTCCACACCCATGCAGCAGTACGCGTGGGCAGCAGCAGGATATTGGAAGCTCTCGCCCCATTTCGGGGGATCGGGGATAGATATAGATATGTACATATGTACACATACACTCGGCTATATAGAGCAACCCACAAGTCGGCTGGCAGCTGTTTGTAGCCAAATCCAAGGAGATGCACGACAAAAACACTTCGGTTATCCCACTGAAAAGAGGTCCAGTTCGACCAGCGGAAAGCTTCGCCCACGATTCACAGATGGCACAAGTGCAATAAATTAAATACCGAGAAAAATGCAGGAAATAACACAGTTCAAATAGTAAAGAGCGATATATGGGACATAAATCAGGTAAAGGATTAACGTTTAGTACCGTGCTTGCTCGATTTGGTGGGGCGACTCGCAGAAAATCACAGAAAAAGTCAAATACGAAATAAATATAAAGACGAAATTTCGAATGTAAATTGCAGAATTTCCTATTGCGCTTCGTCTTTTTAATGTATTTTCAAAATTGCACTCAGAGTGCCATTGCATTTCGCTGTGAAATTAAAACAAATGTGTTAGATGGTTTAGCTTGCATTTAACTGAAATTATAAATTCAAATGTACAACGGCTTAAGAAGGGATGTTAGATACATAGAATAAAATTAAAAGCAATAGAAGGAAATTTGACGCGCATTGTGAAATAATGTTTAAAAATAAAAGTGTGACTTATGCAGTGAAGAAATTGTAAAACGTGTATTATAAAAGTGCAGCTAATGAAGCAAACTCTTGCGAAAACTTTGTCTGCAGCTTGGTGAAAAGCGGGAAAAACGGTTTGTGTCTCTGCTGAGCTTTGCGCGAAAAGCGAATTTTCCATATGCAACTGCCATTGGGATACACCCTGTGCTCGCTTTGAATGAAATGCAAGCAAGTGAACACAGCTGGTGGTATCCAGTGGCCGTTTGGCGTCCTTGCTGCTCCAGAAACTCCAAGGACAACGAGAATGCCCCACTGAGAACGTCATTAGAGGGTAAGTGCGTGTTCAGATCTACCAGTTTCCTGCTCAGGATAATACCATTTGTTTTGCAAGTCCAATTTATCGATGATTTTCATTTCGTTTACACGTTGATTACATTTCGTTACAAACCTAATTTTGCCATACTAAAATGATGTTCTCTTAGCCATAAGCTTCAGTTCGATTCAACAAAGTATTCATTTCTCCCCCGGAAAAAAATTTCAAAAACAATTAAGAAAACAGTGAAAAGAGATAAATTGGAATTTGAATAAAATAATCTTAAGACTTAAGAATCGTTTAAGAAACTAATCAGTGAGAAGACAAAAATTGCATATGATTATACTCAGCATTTTCTTGTTACACATTTCTCTGAATAATTATAATTTCGCTTTTCGTTTGCCTTGGTTTTTCCGCTTGCCTCCGATTTTCATTTTGATTTTTGATGTATCTTATCTTAGTAATCCACGCACATCGGCATTGGATTGGGATTTGGGGCTCTGAGGTGCGATTATGGGCGCATCGAATGCAACGCTCTGAAAACTCTTAAAATCATTAATTATGCCCCGCACAAATAGCAAACCGTCCGTAGTAATGAGTGAAATTTTCAGCGATCTGCTTTAGAAATCGCCGACTTGGCTGGCACAAACAATTAAAAACGATGTTCATGCTGCAAATTGATTTTGTTTGTTTGTGATTAATATAACTATATTTATTTTCGACCGATTTTCGCCCGCTTTTCTGCATCTGTTTTCGCGGTTTTCACCCAGTCGCGTGTGCACTTGTGCTGCAAAACGAAAGCAAAGCCATTTGGCATTTTCTATTTTCGTTTCGCTTCGCCTTTTTGGCCCACACCACTGCCACTTGGCCCACTGCACACTACCAACCGAAATGCGCTGCGAATTGAATTTGGCCAAGATTTCTTGTTCTGGGTCCGAACTGCAAACTGCAGCTGTGCAAAGACAATGGCAAAGGCAAAGGCAACTTGGTGACATTATTTCGACATTTGCCTGCTAGCCAATGCAGCCACTTTTGTCACTTTTGCATTTCAAATGACCGTCAATTATCCTTTGTCGACACTCCCCTTTTGTCTTTCCACGTTCTTTTCTCCCTTGAGGTCAAGGAAAGCGAAATTGATTTTCCGCCCGAGCGGATTTTCCCCCATTTCTCCCATAGTATACGAGTATATGGTGTGATACGTGTGCATTCAAGAGTCTCTTTTTCTGCTCGTGTCTTATGCAATCGCTGGGTGACAGAAGTGCAATGATTTTTCAGTCAACTCATAGAATGAAATCCATTTCTACCTCTGGACTGGTCATACAATTATCTGCGGGGTAATTAAAGCCACATTTCTTGCTTTTGTTCGCCTTTCGGTGACCTCATGACAAGTTTTATGAGGAGATTGGCTGGGATTGAAGTGCTCGCATATAAAATGCCGTCAAATTCAATAAAAACTCGCAGTAAAATTATAGACAATGGCCAAGCTGAGCGCTGCGGCTTACGCAATCGAGGGATATAGAAATCAAGCTCTTGATTTAATACATATATCATCGGAAATAACAAGTTTATGGTCAGCAAATTAAATCATTAATCTATGGGCAATTATAGTTATATACGTTTTTTAGCCATCACACTTATTCATTCGTACAAAACAGTGGTTTGCATTTTATTGAAAAAAGATTACTAGACAAACGCGGCTTTTAACCTTCTGTGGTTTTCAACCATTTTGAATATATGTTAAAGAATATATACTAAAGTTAATAGATTTTGATGAATTCGAAATATTTTATGCACTACCTATCATCGGATTGACATGTGATTGTTGCACAAATAACTGAAAACGTTTGCACTGCAACTTTAAAATTTCTTTATAGATGTGAAACTAATTTATTGACTATACATGTTTATCAGTAGATTTGTACACTTTCCCATCCATCCAACTGCATAAAATTTCCCAAGTTTGTGAATTTCGTTGTGAGACCCATCAGATAGATAAACTTCATAGTGTTCGTGTGCACTGTGGGCTGTCGCGCACTTGAAATCATTTATCGCCCAAGATCGTGTGCCAGCTCTCGTTTTATCGAACTAATATTGTAATGACAGCACGGGCACTAATCACACGATATGCTTCAGGTCGTGCATGACGAGATTAACATTAACAATTGCGATACCAGCTGTTGGCCTCTGGCGGAACATTCGCGGTGGAAAAGCGGAATTTTCAATTTAAGGTTGACCTTACAGCAAAATTTGATCGATAATTTCGCATAATTGTGGAATCTTTCTTGCAAAAAAAACCGAAAAACTAAAAAATCTGTGACACATGCACACGGACACGCACGCACACAGCGAAACATCACCTTGAACATTAAACTGCAACTGTGCGAGCGAGATGGAAGCAGCCTGCTGAGCGAAAGAGAGGGCGAAGAATAGATAAAAAGAGCTAGATAGTTTTTGTTTGCGTCATGTGCAAGTGCAAAAGCTTTCGGTTTCCGCTGTTCGCATGCATGTGTGCGTCTATGTGTGTGTGTGGGAGGAGAGAGCTTTGACCGAAAGCGCGCTCGCGCTCTCCTCGCTTTTTGCCTTATCTCAGCTAGCTTTTTTTGAACGGCCCGAGCAGCTGACAGTTGCGCTTCAGCATTAGACCAAAGTAGTTTGACTTTTCAGTTGTTAGCCGCGAAGCGAATAGTATATACGTGGCTCGGTGTGTGTGTGTGTTTGTGTGTGAGTGTGCTGTGTGTGTTGTGGCAGCTGCATTTGCAGCGAGAGACAGAAATACATTTCGTACAAAATTGCGCCCTGCATTTAGTATATTTCACCTTAGAGCGTCTTTGCCACACACTCACACACACTTACAGCCGCACACACACACACTGGCAAGCGAGAACAAGACACACACGTGGCCATCAAAGCGGTATCGGTTCGCGTCGCGTTTGGCCTAAAATTGTAACAGTTTTCCTTTTACAACAACGAAGAATACCAGAAGTAGCAAAGCCAAAAACGCAGCTGCAGTCGACGTCGACGCAGGTTTCGCTGCTGGCTGCCACCGCTGCTGCATTCGCCGACGTCCGTTTCTGTTTGGCCCATTGCCGTTGGCCAGCTTCAGTGTTCATTTCCCCATCGAGTCGGCAACAACGAGCGGAAGTCGCAGGGGCCCACAGCCAACGGACGCACAGTCGATCGATCCCCAGCTGAACAGCTGATTAACTGCC